AATTGTAGTAATTTCTGTAAATAAAACTAAGGCCACACTGTGATCTCATTTCTGAAAGAAGCTCTATGGAAATATGGGGGCCATCCTGGTAGAATTCTATGCAGGGCCATGGCCTAAGCTGTCTTCTGCCCAAGCCTCTGGCAATTGACAGATGCAGTTGAGCTGCCTTGGAGAGAAAGAGTTCCTGCCTTCATTTTTTCATGAATAACGCTGTGACATGATTCCCTTCCACCTTCCCACCCCCCCCCGGGCCCTGTGTTGATGCTTTTTTTTAACCCACTGAACAAAAAAGGAGAAGAAAAGGTCATAGCAGAACAAAATGTTCCTGTTAAAAATGCATAATAAAAACTGGGAGCCAGCTTCATGGAAAAACATTTCTCTCTATTAAAACCATCAATGAGGTTCTTTGTCAAGCTGTTTTGGTATCTCATTTGTTACATACTACAAGGTGCTGCAGTTCCCAGAGTAAGTGTAATATTTTACTGAGCAGCACAATAACTGAAGCAGTCCTGGCATGCACATCACAGATCAGAGCACACAAGAGGGTTTCTAAGGAGCTGTGAGTTTGATACATCTTCCCAAATATTTTGCATCCCTTCCTTTGTAATTGTGGATATTTAGACATAGAAACAGGAATAGGAAACATGCAGGACTGTACCTGTACCTAGATGTTTTCAACCCTTTTCTTCATACATCTTTTCCAGTACAAAACATAGAAGACCCTCAAATTAAATGTGCCTGGATCTTTTTAAAAGCACCTTTTAAGAATTTTAGTCACATTTCTGTAGTCACAGTTCTCCTCAGATTTGACTGATAAATACCAGTGCCTTACAGTAATCCATTTATCTACTGTATCACCCTGCCTCTGTTTAGATTTAGCAGTCATCACTTTACACATGACACATCAATCTACATGATATCAATGTAAACTGTTTGTATAACAAAGCGTTGTTCATTTTAGTGTCCTGGCAGGAAAGAAAAGGATAAAATAGCACTTTGTCTGTTGCATGGTAAAAAGGTTAATATAATTGACACCATACATTTCATAATGTAGGAAAAAGATAATATTTAAGTCTGTTTGTCACCACCCAAACAACAGCATTGCAAATTTCCCCACAACATTATTTTTGTAAAATATATTTACAAAGGTGGTGTTTTTTGTTTCATAGTTATATACATACATATACATATTAAAAATCATATTTGTTAAACTAAACCAATTTTCAAATACACAATTAATTTGGGGCAAAGATTGCTCTGGCTCTGGTTTGGTAATGAGATAATTGTCTTACAAAGGTCAAGAGAATGGCACTGTTAGCTTTCAGAGAATGAACGAAGACACAAGCTATAGTTCACTAAATGTGGTTCCTTCATTGCATCAGATCTCTTTGACTCACCTATTCTAATACTGCATGATATAGTTACATTATAGGCCCAACTATTTCAATAAAACTGCAATCAAGGAATGACCCTGAATAAAATACTGCACAGAAAACAGATGGTATGCTCATCAAATTCCTTCAAGCCTAAAATAACCTTTCCAATGTAAGAAGGATAGTTAATTAAACCCAAACTTTATATTGTGTATAGAATCTCTCACTGTAAATAAAAATCAAGATGATACTACTTTGCTATTGGACCAGACTTACAAGCCATTTCATTCACTCTATCTTTCCCCAACAGCAATCTGCATTTCCACTCCATACATTCAAAAAGCTCTGGTTTTGGCCAATTTAGGTTGCTGTGTGGGGCCCAGTCCTGAATTCCTAAATTTAAGCACATAGTTTTAATGATGTGAAATAATGGGTGTCAATGTTGACATACACATGAGAAAGGATTCCTCCTATTCATTAGGGGCTGCAGAGTCTGGCTCTACAGGTGGACATCCTTGGTGTTGCAGTAGAACAATTCTGCACTGCTATATAAAACACCTTATTCCAAATATTAGAGTGGATTTCCAGCTTCCAGAATAACAATACCTACTTTAAAGAATGAAGGCTTGATTTATATAAAACTAACAATTAGGTTTTTGGGAAACAGGGATTTTTAAAATCCCACAGGATGTTCCTAAAAAACCATTATTATAAGCTAAATGAATAAACAGATATTGTCTTCCTAAAAGAAATGAGTTACTTTACACAGATTTATAAATATCGTACGTTAAAGCTGTAAATGCTCAATATTAACTGGTACTATTTATTGCCATTAGCTGCTACATTCATTTGAATGCTGATGTGGTTAATATAATTAAATTACCATAGAATAGGTAAACTATTAGAGAAACTACACTGGACTGAATACTAAAAGTACCTTAATATGCATGCTGCTACAAATTTAATAGTGTGCTCTCTGGCATTTTGTAAATCTGACATGAGTGCTGGACATCTAACAGTCTCAGGCTATATCTATAGCAGGGGCAGGCAATTATTTTGGGCAGAGGGCTGCTTACTTACGTTTTGGCAAACCATCGAGGGCTGCATGACAGGCAGCCAGGGGCAGATAAATATTAATTTTCTAAAATTTTTAGGGGCCCCACGGGCCAGATAGAATGGCCGGGCAGGCCGCATCTGGCCCATGGGCCGCATTTTGCCCACCCCTATAGGATAAATCAACCATGTTAAGCAATGGTACCTTTAAACACCCCATATTGGTTCAGACACGCTGCCCCATGCGGTGCTTGAGGCAGGTTAATTAGCACTGCCAAGTGAGAGTGACAATGGCTGCTGACAGATGTGTAGGCCCCTGCTTAATTCATAGCACTTTACATAAAGCATCATGAATTAGCCTGTTGGGGAATCAAGCCTGCCTGCAGTCAAGGACCTGCCCCATTCCCCCAGTTCTGCCCCCCAGTTCCAGTGCTGTCAGCACTGCCCCCAAAGCTGTGAAGAGAGAGGAGGGGGAGTGATCAGCCCTGGTAGGGCTAGGGGAGCAGGGTCTAGGGAAGCACTCCAGCCACACCCAGTCCATGGTGGGAGCCCACAACAGGGCCTGGGGCATGTTTCCTGAAGTCACAAGCTCCATCCCCTGACCCCAGGGCACCCTTATTCCCAGCGTGGACCTGGTGATGGCTCAGGGGTCCTGCACCGGCCAATCCCCAGCACCCTGCACCACCCCCGTCTCCCTGGCTCCTCTTTGCCCCCATCTGCCTGTCCAGACACCACACCCCATGCTTCCATCACTGGGGCCCTAGTAGTGCTGGAGTGCTGGTGTGTGGAGGCTGCACAGGCCAGATGTGGCTGGCAGGGTCGTGGCTGCCCTGGCAGAGGAGGCTGGAGTGATGCTGAGGCTGGCAGGGAAGAAATGCCCACAAGAAGAGCCAAGCCCCGAGTTGCCCAGACCTGCTGCTTTTGGGCACATTCTGCTGGGGAGCCCCTACCACGGGCTGTGTGGGCTCAGGGGGCTGGGCAGGCAGGGGCAGCATGGCCTAGCCAGGGTGGGGCTGGGTGCTCTCTGGGAACCTGTGGCACAATGGTGCGAGGGCTGGAGTTTCTTCCTGCAAGGCCCCCCTCCTCCCTGCTGCAGCTGGCCACCTCTGCCCTCATCAAAGTATAGCAGCAGG